TATATCTCGATCAAATCTCATGCAGACTCAAGGAAATTTTCAGAAAACGCTCAGGACAGCTGATAAAACATAATCGAAGACGAAAAAGGTGAATGTGAGCTGGGCATTGACTTAAGGTTTTCCAGAAACCTTCTGAAAAACCTCCGAGCATCAGTGTTCTGCTGAATCACGTTTTCGGCGTGGTCACCAACATATGGCACCTTTTAAGCCTTTCTTGAAAATTTCCTTGAGTCAGTATGAGATTTGATCGAGATATAAGGATTTTAATTTTTGCTAGTAACAGGCGAAAAACCGGTTTTTCACAACAATGCCTCTGGCGAAGTTATATTCATTTCTACACAAAAACAAATGTTGCTACTATGCTCAGCGTAGTCGATTACCTATAGTCCACGGCATTTTGAGATTCCCAGAGATGTCTGCTCGGAGATAGACACTTGCTTGGGGAAAGCGAGTCCTGCCCGAACGACGATAGCTAGAGAACCGGGACTTGCATAGTTTTGTAGAGTAACGTCCGAACTATCTACACATGCAAAAAAATTACTAACATTGTATGTTAGTTTTCTGAGAACGGAGCTGGTTTTCCAAAGATCCTCTGAAAACCCGATCTCTGGAATTTTTTCAAAAGTTGCTTTCGCTTGTGAAAAGTTCTGCTCAAGTCTTGGCTATTGAACAGCGAAAATCGCAGGTCTCTATCTCATTCCTATCAAAAGTTATTCAAAAAATACCCACGGGTCTTGTATTTTGGAATGGATAGTGCTAACTAATTCTCTGTGAAAACATATTGAACATTTTTCTATATAAAAAATAAAAGACTATGGTGGAAATACTGTGAATATATGCACTCTGTAAAATCTTTTTGTATTTTATATAAATCCCTAGCTTTTTGCACAGGAGTTGAACTAAATAAAACATCAGAACGACGATTAGTAAGTGGATGGGCGACCACCACTGACGGTCGGATCACCGAGTTATTTTAGTGACGTCTGACGTATAAAGAGTGGGCCAGAATTACCGAAACGTACCTGTGTTCCCAGATTTATCAGTTCGTTTCAGTAATTCTGAGTTTCATTATATAGAATACGCTAGGTGGTGCATCATGTTGTAATTAGTGCTTATGACGCCAATAAGAGCGCTACTGTAAGAACGAATTTTCTTAAACCTACTGAAATGTTTGGATGAGAAAAGGGTTTCATCAAAACTTCTACGATCACTTGAAAACATAACCTAAATTATATCAGCTAACGGCAATCGGATACAAACACCCGTCTCACCGATGGTTAAAACTCATATGTTTGCTTTATCATTTTTGAGCCGGGATAGATAGTTCCTTAGTCAATTTATACTACATTATCCAAGAGCCCTGATAGAAGATGAGAGCTTTGGTAGCAGGTATTCGATTTCTTAGACCGGAGATTAATTTCGTAAGCATAAATTCGGTTGATGGATTTTCAACTTAATGTCTACCAAAAGAAACGATATATAGCTTCTCTTGTTAGTTTTACAATCGTCGACTTTTGTGCAAAAGTAACCCTGAAACAATATGATGCAGTGAGGTAAAAAACGCATAACATACGTGTTTGACAGTAACTTCCTGTCCAAGTGTTTGCCACGCAACTACAATAATTTGGAGTCGTTGATCCACTTGCTGAAGCCGTGCATGTACCGCTATTAATACATGCTGGGGAACACACAGCTAAAACATTGGTAATGAGAGCTAAATACTTTCTGCTGGCTTAAGAGCTAGTTCTGATAGTCACGGCAAACCTTTTCGACAGTCTAAAATGCTCTCCTCAAAACGATCTCAGAGAACTAAATGGAGATTGCGGATACTATCAGATTTGTTTTAATTTACCTGTCTGACAATAAGTTCCAGTCCAATAGGAGTTGCACGTACAATAATTGGGATAAGTATAACCACTGCTACTAGGTGTGCAGGTACCAGAGTTGATGCAAGCTGGTGAACATACAGCTAAAAATGAAGAAAATGGTTAGTTTTCTTCAGTACATATGCATTTTCGTAGAAAAAATGACTGTTTACATACGCGTTTGACAATAACTTCCTGTCCAGTAAGAAATACAGGAACAATAATTCGGATTTGTCGGTCCACTGAGACCAACTGAACACGTTCCACCATGGATGCAAGCAGGCGAACAAACCTCTAGATAAAATAACGAGTGTAGAAAAGATCCATTTGTAAATTCTGATAAAGTTAAGATTTTTTTTGTATTGTTGTTATTGAGGAAGATGTTACTGACAGTTTTCTCAAGTCATGAGGCATGAATACAACATATTCCACTTACGTGTTTGGCAATAACTTCCTGACCAGTAGGCGTTGCACGCACAATAATTGGGATAATTGTAACCGCTGAGACTGCGCATACATGTTCCAGCATTGCTGCAAGTCGGAGAACACACAGCTATATAGAAGAAATAACAATGGCAATAACAACTGGTTTTTATGGACAGAGATGTTGGTCAATAAAACAGTAGATAGTCTCAATCTAACATACATTTAATTGAGTATCACCTAATAATAATATGTGCTGGAGGAGAAATCCGCATGTGTGACTTCGGATACTGAGCAAAGCTGCAAAATTTATATATAATACATATGATATTATATATGTCGTCACCAAAGCTGCTTGTTTAAGGACATGCGTCTAATAAAGCTCAAAAACAATGAGCACAATTGTAAAATCCTTGTAAGGGTATAACTGTCTTTTCTGAGCTCAAGAATGAAAACTTTCTTAAATCCAATCTAAACTACCTAGTTCTGCCTCAATACAAAACCAGGTGGTTTTTACAGGGTAGGAGTTACCTTAACTCTCCAAAAAGTTTCTCTAAGAAGTCATCCTTCAAAACTTTCTTACGGAAAAAAATGATACATTGGGCTGCTTTTTTTGTCTTGTAGCGGAGACAAAATCTTCTGAATCTCATCATTCCCCCATCGGTAGAGCAATCAACACGGGTGCATACTTTGTTCGATTTTTAAGATGTTGTCAAAACATCACTGTTTCTCACGTACTAGTTTAGCCCTACCGCCATAAATAAGAGATATTTTTGAAACAGAGTACGCTATGCGTTTAGTTTTGATTGCTTTATTTATGGTAAATATGTTTGTCTTTACCGTCAAGGTTTTTGAAGTGGTAATGGGACGAACAGCAGGCTCACTTCACCGTTATGGTGCCTGTAACTCTCAAACGGCTATTACGATAAACCGATGGCATGATAGATTTTCTCTAACTCATCGAGTCAAATCTCGGTTAAAAACGTCATCGCTCTATGGTGAAGCCATTCGTCAGAAGCGCTGGAGAGCATCTCTCGCATTCCATCTTCAGGTCCATAACGGTATACCTACTGAATTACGATCGAAAAGGGCATTTTCCTCTCCATTGTCTAGTTTACGTAAATTCAAGGTAAGGAAAAGCATGAAAATCTTTTAAAATGAAAATTTTTTCCCTTTTTTTACACATAATAGCATAATAAGTAAATGTCTTAATTGAGCGAGACAGAATAGAAGGAAAATACCACTTTGCAGTTCATAAATCAAAATTAGTAAACTTTGTCGTTCTCATTAGCTATCGCCAGCAAGCTATTAATTTCTTCACTCACGTGTTTGACAGTAGTTTCCAGTCCAGTATGAGATGCATGTGCAGGAATTTGGATTTGTTGGTCCACTGGCAGCTGGAGTGCACGTTCCACCGTTAATGCAAGGTGGATAACAAACAGGTGTTTGACAGAAGGCATCGGTCCAATAGCTGTTACAGGTGCATGTTTGAGGAGCCGTGCATGTCCCTCCGTTGAGACATGTAGCCGTTGGAGCAACGTAGGAGCCCTCCGATCCTGCAATCGGTAGACAAATTGGTGTTTGACAATAAGATCCTGTATAACCAGTTACACAATTACACATATTAGGTCCGATACACGTGCCACCATTTATGCAAGCTGTTTGGCAGACCGCTTAAAGTAATACGGAAATTCGATAGTTTTCACATTTCGAACGTTGCCGTCAGTGCTCACGTGTCTGGCACACGGATCCAGTCCAATCTGGATAACAGGTGCAGTTGTTTGGCGCTGTACAATTGCCGTAATTTTGGCATGATGGATTGCACACCGGTGTAGCACATAAATATCCTGTCCATGATGATGTACAAGAGCATAGTTGGGGAGCAGTACACGTAGCCCCATGTAAACAGGTGGGACTGCAGATCGCTAAAACGGTAAAAGTACTTGAAGAAGCCTGTCGGTCTAGTATAATTCAAATGTACTGAAACAGAGTTATACTTTATCAGGAAATATTCCTTATTCTTCGAAGTAGAAAAAGAATGCAGACAATGTGGTTAAAACCAAAGATTGAAAAGTTGAGTACTGTATAAATCAGAAAGGCAACTCAGTTTAACCGCATGAGATTTGCCCGCCAAAGAAACACATGCTTTGAGAAAAATGTATGTGATCATATACAAAGATATGATTTTAGAAAGCTCTGGCACATTGGTTAAAGTACTTAACAACACGTCTTGCTAAATTCTAATAAAAATATTTTAGTTTATCTTACGAGTTTTCGCTATATCTTCAACATTGATAAAATGTAAAACAGAAATTTGTTGGTTCAATCGCCTGTAGTGATGAATATTTGAGTTTGACCTCTCTTCCTCTCTATTCAGGAAAGCCATTTAAAGGACCCTGGCGGATTTGATGACCCCCTGGAAACCATATAGCCTGATAGAGCATAGAATTCTGAACAAAACAGGATATCTCCCGACTGTCTGTAATGCTTTTTCACGTAGCTACAGTTGATTTACGAACGGCTACAATGGGCGTTAAAATTACCAAAACATTCCGGTGACAAAGCATTTCAGACAGCTGAGAGACGTCTTATTATGTTCAGAATTCTATGCTCTATCAGGCTATATGGTTTGTAAAATTTTCTGACCGAAAAACAAAGACTTGGTTTTCCAGCGGTCAGGTTTTCCAGTATTCAGATTGGCTCCAGCTTTTCCTAAAAGATCTAAAACAAAGGAGTTCTTGTGATTATCACACACTGTACTGTATAGATAACACCCAAACGCTTCTTTTCCATATCTTTAATGACTGGCTCCATTTGCCCGGATATTCTGACGCTCTCACGTTGTAGAGAATTTCAAGGGCTATCCAATGGTATTCTCTATCGAATGATATATAAAGTCGAGTGGTAAACGAGAAAATTAGTCATTATTATAGACATGAACAACGCTGACCTAGCAGTTTGCTGGGATGCTCCCGGCTATTTCGGATCTTAGACCACCCAGTTACGTTTTCTTAAGACTGTCTTATATATCATTCGGAAGCTCGTGAAATTTTCTATCGAACGGCTTATAATAGTTGATATTTGGTCTAGGTGAAAGAGGTGGAAGAATGTAAATACTTTGAGTAACGCTCGCTTAACGCGAGAAAAGTCTTTTCAATGCAAAGCAGTTTTGAGCACGAAGCGCCCCCCTTAGATGAATTTTAGAATAGTGCATTTGTAGAGCAGACTCGCACGCAGTTTCTGGCAAAGTTTGGCTTCTGTTCACTTCTCTTGTGAGGTTCACGACTCCAAATACTGAGAAACATTAAAATCGATAAACCATACAAATCGATGAAAGGTCTCATTTTTCTCCATCAATACGAGGCAAACAGAAATGTCGAATATATCAGCGTGTAGCCCAAGACGACATCTACAAAAGGATAGATTGGGAATATTTTTTCGCTTCTTGTAATTAGCACTAAAATCGATATAGGTTTAGATGACTATCGTAACGGCGGACCAGAAAATTGACTCTAGATCTTGCATAGTGGTATGAAAACGACCTTCACTATATACCGTTCGATGCGTCTTGAGGTGCTTCACAAAACTGTATACTTAGCTTCTTGCTTCAATGGGGGTCACCAAATCCGCCAGGGTCCTTTAGAAAATAGTTTGGCTTGTAGACGACATTTGGCTTTTCAAATCAAAAGAAGTTTTTCTCAAAAGATATTCCTATTGAGCGTGGAAGTGTGCAGTCATGAAAACTACGGGCAAGATATTGGACATACTGAAACATATACTAACGTGTTTGACATTGGGCTCCCGTATAGGAACCAGCGATGCATGTGCACATGTTGGGTGCTAAAAAAAAGAACTATTGATAAAACGACAGATGTGATTTTTAATAATAAAAGTAAATACCTGTGCAATTTCCTCCATTGAGACAAGGACTGCTGCAAACAGCTAAAAGATTTGATTATGATTAAATTGCTTGCTTTGAGTCAAGTTTAGTCACTTACGGGTTGCACAAGTTGCACCCGTCCATTGTGATGTACAATTACACGTTGCAGGCGCCGAACAGATGCCACCGTTTATACATGTGTTAGAACACACCGCTAAATATAGAAACATTAGATGCCAAAAATATTGCTGTGTAAATGACACGCACAGTAGCTACTGTCCATTAGACAACCCGTGCGTGTGACGGTATTTTGAATACCTCGACAACGATAAGAGAGAGAGATCTGCGGTTTTTCCTACTTTGAGAAGGAGATGTTACTCTGTCGTTTCATGTATGAAGGCCTGGAGAACTCGAACTTTCAGATGGTGTACCTCACACTTCTTCAAAATATTCGGTCCCTGTTCTCTGATGTTCCATAGAGTCCTCCATGTACAAACTGTGCACAAGATAGCCTAGGATGTCCTCTATAAATCTGCAGAGGATTTGTAGAGGACATCCTAGGTAGAGGAAATCTACAGCCGACGTTACTTGCTTGCTCCGTTCATCAGCTACAAGCATTTTCGGAGATCCCGATTTCAGCCAGTTGGTCTTCTATCATTCCAAAACAAGTCAAGATAGAGCTAATCAACCACGCTGAGTCACGTGGTTGTGCTTACTATTAGTTTCAAAACGATTTGAAGTCACTTACCTATGAGTGATAAGTAATTGGACAAATCTCGAGCATTATTTCTATATGCTCCTGATGTTAGAGAAAGTTAATTATTTTTCTGTTGGAAAGAGCAAACTCTGATCTTCAAAAAACATAGAAAACCAAACTCTTTGTGGTTGAGTTAAAAAAAAGATCAAAAAAGCTCTTGTAAAGTGCCTTTTTCTTTATTTCTTCCTTATAACCAAAAAGAGAAATCTTTCTTCAAAGCCCAATAGATGAGAATGTCGCACGTACAAAACTCTATCGATCGTTCTACTATCGAAAATCTTCCGGTAATTCGTTGATAGTAAAAAAAAGCATAGATAAAACTTTGTTTTGGTAAAAAAATACTGCTTTGCATCAGAAAGATAATCATCATATGATGACTATGACCGTAAAGCGAATAAGTCTTTCTAACCGTCCAATAGAGTGAATCTATGTAAAAGATGGAGTCAATTGCTCATTAATTATTTCAAAAGTTTTGGTCAAGTACGAAAATAAATCACCCAAAGCCAAGTAGAATAATCCTTTGAAAACATAAATTCTGATTTAGCTATCAAATCAGCATCGATCAGACGTGAGTATACATAACGAAAATAATAGTTTGAAGTGATAAAATAATTATTCTTAAATAATTGTTCTTATGAGCCTTAGATATGCTGGACCAATCAAATGCAGTTCAAGTGTATTTCAAGTCCAATACAGACTTGTGCTTCCCTATTTTTTACTGTAGCCAACCGTAACATTTTGCTTAAGTAACTTGTATATTCATTCAGCACTAAAAGTGTTTATAATGTTGAAATGTAAAAGAGCTCTGTATGATTCATTTTGAGAGTTTGGCAGCGATGCCTCCATAAGGGACTAATCGTGTACTCGTTTCTACTCGGTTAGAAAATTTTAACAAGAAAATGAGACGTCTCCAAGCTCTTTATGATATTTTCTCATGAAACAGCATTCAACTTACAGAAGACCCTGAGCTTGTATCATCTTGTTTTTCCCTTAGTTTTGCTGATATGGGACGTTCTGTAAATTGAGGCATGCGCTGGGTAATTGACTACGGATTTTATATTTTTTCCAAAGCTTGGCATTTCGTAAGAATGTAGAGCAAACATTTGTCTAAAAAATGAGAAGTCAGACAGCTCTGTACGATTTGTTTTGAGATTTCGGCAACAATACCTCATGAACACATAATCGAGTAGTAAACGAGTACACGATTAGTTCCTTATGGAAGCATCGTAGTCAGAATCTCAAAACAAATCATACAGACGCGTTCTGTTGTTCTCCGAAAACTCCTACTACCGCCGATACACACGTGTTACTTTTCTTTCTCACCGTGTTCGATTCCCATCGTTCGTCTACAGAGATCAGCGTGTTTCAGTCTCGAGTTGATTTAGAAATAAAGAAAGTACGTGTAAAATAAAGAAGTTTTAAATTCCAAGTAGTACACCTGATGAAATATTTAGAATACGCTCAATACTGACAAAAAAAGCCACGGAAGTACCAGTTCTAAGAAGAAGTTTCTCAGAAACAGGTTTTCTCTCGGTATTTCAGGAAGGAGTACTTTAAAACAAAATATTTACTTTCATCCTTTTCATGCTCTTATTTTTTTACTGTTTCTCACTCTGAAACCCACAGACCAACAAAATATAGAGCAAATACCAAGCTCAGTTAGCTAAGCGATAAATATTTTGCTTTGTAATTTCTCTTTCTGTTCTAGAACGCATGTTCGAATCATCGTAAGTACATCTTCTATACATGTCTTTCTTTCATATCAGTTAAGCTCTTCTCTCCTCCTGTTCGTCTCTAGTAGCTGGCTATGAGACCCTGAACTTCACAGAAGACCAATTGGTCTTCTATTTTGTCCGACAAGTCGAGTTCTAGAGGATCGTCTTCTATTGCGGTCAAATTTTGTCGCCTGCTAATAGTCCAACGGTAACGTAACCACCGGCGTATTTGAAGTCCGGCCCCTATCAGAAGTACATTTTGGAGAAATTTTTTTAAAAATTTTCGATTTTTTGACGGACATAATAGAAGACTAGCGGTCTTCTAGGGGTTAAGAATCTTAGTTGAACAAAAAAAACTTTTCTGAAAAAAGAATTAAATTAAAAAGTTTAAAAAAAAACATGTTTAGTCGCCAAATGTGTCTAGATAGCGTCAAATGGTGCATATTTCCACTACCTAAACGCGTCTAGGTGAAACGCATTTAGACGCGCCAGAACAGAGAATAACCCCGTATAAACGCGTTTAAACTATATTTAAACACTATATGACGCCTCTAGATCGTCAAATGGTGCGTATATGCAGCGCTTAAACGCAGAAGAAAACGCTTTTTCAGACCCGCTTCTGACTCGAAAATATTTACATGGGATAAAGAAGATATTGGTTAGTGGAGATTATAGCCTGAGGTTGATGAGAATTTCTAGAGATTCTGAACGATTCGATCAAATTCTAAACAATATACTTACGCACATAAACGGTAGACACTATGTGTATATCATACACTGAGGCCTATGTTATAGAAAAATTGCTATGAATACTAACGTGTCTGACAGGTGGCACCCGTATACAAAGTCGTTGGACACGTGCAAGTGTTTGGAGCCGTACAATTCCCTCCATTCAAACAAGGCGACGAACATATAGCTATAAAAATTATTGTATTGTGGTAAAAGTTATTCAGTTCTAACTTAATCTCACGTGTTTGACACTGAAGTCCAGAATAACCGGTTGTACACGTGCATGTATTAGGAGCTGAGCAAGTTGCATTATTCAAGCAAGTTACTTGGCAAATTGCTAAAAGAAAGTCATATAGGTTTTGAGCCGAAAGAGAATGTGATTGCTTAATCTGCTTACGAATGGTACATGTAGGTCCCATATACTGAGATGTGCACGTGCAAGTCGAAGGAGCTGTACAATTACCCGCATTCTGGCATGGACTTGGACATATAGCTAAATATCAATTTGTGGACAATCGTTTCATGGAGAAAGGGAAAACTCACGATTTTGACAGATAGTGCCGCTCCATTGAGCAGTACAGGTACAAGTAGCTGGATTCGAGCACGTTCCATTGTTTCGACAAGATGGAGAACATACGGGATACTGGCATTGAGTACCATTCCAACCGATAGTACATGTGCATTGATTCGGATTAGTACATGTTCCGTGGACACTTCATTAGAAAAGAAAGGTTTTACTATTATGCGAAAAAGATCAGTGATTGATCGTACCAACTTGGTGAACATACAGCTGAAAAGAGACTCATTTATTTTTGAGGTCTTTAATTAAAAAGGAATACATACGTGAAGAACAACTTGTTCCTGACCACCCTGCAGAACAGAGACAATTATTAGGCAGAGTGCAATTCCCATAAACACAAGATGGTGTGCAAATAGCTGAAATGACATAAAGGTAAAAGATTAGCAGATCTTTTTGTTCCTCAGCAACGAACGTGTGCTACACTTGTAATCCGACCAGCCCGTATAACAACTAAAAAAAGTAAACGAAGAAAATTTACAGAATGAATTGGGATATAAATCAAACCTGCATGTTGCTGGTAGCGTACAATTCCCCTGGATACATTGAGGGCTGCATATAGCTACAGTAAATATAAGAAAAACATGTAACACATTCTAAAAAACCATGTTAGAGACTAACGTTTATCGCAGTATGTTCCGTTCCATCCCGACCAACATGAGCATACTTGTGGAGCTGAACAGTAACCGTTGTTGCACGTCGTATTACAGATAGCTAAATATTTTTAAAAATAAGTGAAGGAAGAGCTTTTTAGAGAAGGACGTAAAATACATTGTCAGTGCCGAAGAGATTAAAATTTCATATTTTCCAGTTATTCCAGGAACTTTTCTTAAATTTCCAAAAAATTTTGTAAGTTTTTTCAAAGATTTTTCTCAAAAAATCTCCACATTTCAGTGTTTCATTTTTTGCTTATACAGCCACTGGATCACAACTCCCTCAATGAATAGAAATTTATCGCTGCTGAATGTGAATTGTACCCATCCTGTAAGTACTCGTTTAGTGGAACTTTTAATTTATTTTGAATTTCTTTAAATTGAAAAACTTAAAGTTGTACATACAGAAAACGATCGACACACCTTTCCTTGATTGAAAAGTGACACACTTTCACATTTTGGTAGTAAATTTCAAATTTATGCTTACGTTGTTGGCAGATATTGCCACTGAATCCTGCCGGACAAACACACGTATAATTCGCTTGGCAAGTGCCACCGTTCCAACACCAACACTTCACTAAAAACGGAAAATACAAAGTTCTGAGCACATTCTCGATATACTTTTCTCTTCACCATTATTGTTTCGGAATGTAAAAATAAACGAGGGCGTAATGAGCGCTGCAGCAGCAAGCACTATCACTAAAGTTATTGCGGCAGCAAAAGCACTTTTCCATGTGAACACAAAAGCCCTGAAAGAAATGCAAAAGAAGTAGGCAAAGCATGATCAGTAATATTCTTACCCTGTCTTGATATTTGCAGTTCGTTGTGCCGATTCCGGTAGCAAAAAAGCGTCATCGGCATTTGGATCTAAATATTCTTCCTCTATTGGTGGTAAAAATTCTGGTAATTGCTGCAGTCGTAGCAGAGCAGCATTTTGAGCTTGGATTTGCTGCTGTCGTTGATGAAGCCAAATTGTGTGTTGATCTTCGACGAATGCGATGCTTGGATTTTGTAAACCTAGACCTTTAGATAACTAGAAAATAATTCAATAAAAAATAGGTATTTTCATGATTTGAATTAGATTGAAACAAAAGTCCTTTCGTGATATTGAGATCTCAGCTTTTCTTCGATAGTAATGGTACCTTCAAAATTTTGAAACTTTTTAAGCTGATTTCTCAAATTTTTGCGCCTGCTTTCTGCACCACGATCAGTTAATACCCGTCTTTATGAGAAAGATATTTTTGGCCCAATAAACCTGATCTGGTTCAGACGTCCAGGGAATGTGTATCAGATCGAGGAGGGATTACGATACGAATTTGAAGACTCTATTTATCAGTGTGTAGGAGAAGTTGCCAGAATAGAGATCAAAACAGAGCATTTAGCATTCCGCCAAAAGTAGAAACTGTAGATCTCGGGTTACTTTTAAATTGTCGTGCCAAGATATGGGACGAACACCAACAATGGAACAAATTTTAAAATGTTGTTTTATCAAGCTAAAGTGAGTGTTTTAACTATAACGCTTTGTTAGAGTTTTAAATCCGTCATATTTTTCAAAGAAAAACTCTAAATGAAACATCAGGCTCTGTGGTCGTGCTGCACTATGTAGCGACTAAATTTAAAAAAGAGAATACACACCTTTGGTCACTAAATCTGTTGTACAATAATTGCATTACTTATGCCCTTAAGTATATTTATTTACACAAATATCTCTATTTGCAAATACAAAACTGTGCTAACTTTCGTTGACGCCTTTTATCTTTTGGTTTGCACCATCTTCCAATACGTATTTTACCAGTAACTTTATGTAATTCAAATGAAATAACTAATCCGGAAATCTTTGAACATGAACGACTGATACGAAAGAACAATGTCTAACCAAGCCGACGATGCTACTTGTGCATTAGACAATCGTACATGTTATGCAGTCTCCTTGCAACAGAACAGATTTAGTGATCAAAAGTATCTTTTTTTTTTACATTTATATCTAAAAATGTTTTATGGTCGAAAAAAACTCAAAAGATGGATCGGTCGTCACAAATTGACGTTTCCTGTTCGTTCGTCTTTCGAGGATATATCAACCATGTAGAAGTGAAATACATTCAAAGTGAGAACATTTATGTAAAAACTAGCTCGTACTGTGATTCAATATCGAATCACACTATTTTCTTTTTTCCTGCTTGATTACTTCTTCAAGGACAATTAAGCGCTATGTTTCAAAAGATTGTTCTTTTATCAATCTATCAAAAATACATATACTTTTCTTTTACAGTCTACTCTGATACTATTTAGACTTTCGTATACGAGAAATTATTTTGTTTCTCTGTTTAAAGAATAAAATAAGAAAAGAACAAATTTTATATTTTCATCAAATGTTCATCTCTTATATATTCAGAGAGAAAAGTGCTCACCGTAAATTTATTTTGTATTGTGCCAATTTCGCAAACTAAAATTACATTATTTAGAAAAGTCCCATTCACATTTCTTCTACCAGTTTAGAGTACACGAGTTGTACACGATACTGAGGTATTTTTAGAAAAAGATCCCTTTTAGTATTTGAGATATATGACTGCCCAAGCGAATAAAGAGTATCAAGTGTTGGGCAATCCTATCTAGGTAATCCAATCCAATACCTAATATACCTAGACTCGGATAAAAAGAAAGTATTGAGTATTGGGCCATCCAAACTAGCTAACCCAATACAGTAGTCAATATACCTAGATAACCCAATATATTACTCGATATATCGACGGTCGGATTATTCACGTTTTTGTTTTGCAGCCACAGAACCTGTATATGTAACATATATACTCCATAAATTTACAAAGTTTTTATTCATATCAAGTCAATATATTGAGCAATAATAGACCAATATATTACAGACATTCCGGGGTACAATGTAGACAGCATTCTTCATGCTGTCAATACATGAGTTGATATATTAGACTGTAACAGACCATTATATCTGAATCGTCGCTCCTCACACTAGCCTTTTCTTGCATCCCAATATATTAAGACGATATCAGGATGCACTAGATACCATACCCAATATATCTAGATGAACCAGTAGAAGTGACGCCTATATCTAGATATTTCATAGTAGGATTGTGCTATACAACGATAAAATATCTAGATATTTTCATTCATGATTTTTTGCTTGGGTGTGGATATCGCTCATTATCGTTCGAAACAGCAAGCTTTTCAATGACTTTCGAAATGTAATTTCCTTCCAAATTTGAGTAACCGACCTTGATTTATATATGAGTAAGAAGTCAGTCTTAGTGTTATACAACCGAGTATCACATATTTACACATGAGTTAACTCATTTTATTATACTATTTTTACAAACTGTTAAACATAAATAACGCCGAAGTTAAATCTCAATGTACGTCTAAATAGTTCTTGTGTTTCTACTAAATTATATTGCGACACATTATTTCCGTTTGTCTTATTACTGCAACACCCGGGGGGGGGGGGGGGGGGGGGGGGGGGGGGGGGGGGGGGGGGGGGGGGGGGGGGGGGGGGGGGGGGGGGGGGGGGGGGGGGGGGGGGGGGGGGGGGGNTTTTTGTTTAATAATAATATTATTTGCCAACATTTTTTCCGTTTGTGTTTATTCTCCAAAAACCCGGCCCCCCCCCCCCCGAATTTTTCCCTCATGGATTATGCTATAGTGAGCTTTTTGCTAGAGCTTTAAACTTGGTAATTTTAGAATAATAGTATATTGTTAGGAAGCGTAGAAAATCTCATTCACGAAGTTTAGTAATAAAACATTCAAATATATTTCATTGTTGGCATTGACGCAAGCAAGGATATAAATTACGTTTAAACACTACATAACAATATCTCATTGTCTATATTTCTCAGATCATTTGTGTCCAAAAAGATAGCTATATTGGTCAGATGGAGGGAAAGGAGTGAAGCTGTGTCGTTTTAATGTACAAATTAAGTAAAACAGACTAATTTACACAATATATTTCCAAGTTCCACTGAACTAAGTATGCAGCGGTTTCGGTATTTAACCGGTTCACCGAAACTAGTATAACAAAAAAGACATTTTTATTTGCACATATTCTTGAAAATACATTGAAGCAGCATGACCGAAACATCTAAGAATGTTCATCGTTGCACGATGGGCACGTGTTTTACTTGATATCTTTCACGAAAATTGGGCGAAAAAAAATTATTTTGAAGATTATATTTTTTTATGGTATTAATTTGACTTTTTCTGAAATAACTTTTGTCCTTAAATTTTCTTGAAACATGTGTCCTTTATACTGTTCAAATGTATTTTCAAGAATATGTACAAATAAAACAGATTTTTTTATTACATTGGAACCGAAACTGTTGCTTTCCTACACCCAACAGATAAAACCAACCTACTGTTCTGGATGGAAACTGAGCTATTGCAGCATGATCATCAACCATTATGTCAAATAATGTGTCTATTGTTTAAAAGCAATACTGCTTTCTTGTTTCACTTACAATACTAGTAAACAAAGCAATAGAAATAAGTTTATATATGTATACTTCTTTGAAATAGTATTCAATTACATAATCTCATGAAGAAGAAAAAATGACTATTAAACATTTGTCTTTCTTTTGAAAGTACTTTTCTTTTCAAAAGGGAAACATATGTAATTTTTGTTTTATTTTTTCCTCATGCATCGAATAATTCACCTAAGGTGTGGATTATTCACAATGGAAAAATAACTAACTCCAAGAGTTTACGCAGTCTACAGGAACCCATATCCAAGTTAAAAGACATATAACTATTTAATTTTACGTTCTCTAATATGTGGATTGCGCTAATTCTTATTTGTACGCTAAAAATAAGAGCTGAGAATGTATGTCATACTATTTATTTCCACAGAAAAAACGGAAAAGAGACAAATAAGCCGAATTGTCTTATTTTTTTTTTGCTGGTTTCAATCACTCGTGATAATCTATCTGTTGATATGCGATAATTTTTGTCCGTTGACAGCCAGATTGCTGACTGTTTATGTAAATATTTATCAATGTTATTAATTATTGTTTTAAAATAAGAATTTTTAATTCAGTATTAATCTTGTCTTTAATATATATACCAGAAAAGTTTGTTTTTGCTGTAATAATATTTTCAGAATCATCGAAAACTTTCACTATCTTCATCACTGTGGTTATTATCATTATCATCATCTAGATCGCAACTAGATTCGCATTCAGAATCAGAATCATCAGTGGTATTATTTATTGTTGTATTTGTTGAACTATCAAACATTTTTTATGTAGAATTTAATTCATGAAATACATAGAGTAAACTGGGGCAATTGGAAACGATTTTTTGCTGTTTGGACTTCTAATTACTATAACTTTGTTAATTTTAATTATCTTTTTGAGATTTTTTTACAGGTAGGTAGAGGAGGAAATTCTCCATAAGCCTATCTAAAAATTTTAAAAAACTCCGTTTCCAAGCGAACTTCCCGGTGTTTTGCTGAACAGAGATGGGCGAGTACGCAGATTCTCGAGTACGGGTACTGGGCGTCGAGTATGAGTACGAGTACGAGTATTTTCTAAAAAATGCTCAAGTAGTACTCGAGTACTTTTTTTTAGAAAATACTCATGAAAAAAGTTATTCTAATTATAGGTTATTTCATGTTAAAAAATTTCAAGTACTCGAGTAACTACTGGAGTACATGTTTAAGAACTCGTAAAAAAAAGTTCCGAGGACGAGTACTGGAAATTTTGTACTCGAGTATACTCGAGTACAATTGCTGAAAGTTCTAACGAACATTTCCAATTACCCCATTTGGGGCAATTGGAAATAACAATAGAAATTGATGGAGTGATTGGATACGTCATGTATTTTACACGGGAAATAATTCATTAGTAAAAAATAGTTTTCTCGTCAAGCCAATGATACTAATTAATAATTTTTGCACAGGTAAAGAGATCAATTATTGCTCTACAAATGGTGAGAATCTCCAAGCTCTACTCACTACTTAGCCTGAGCTCCAATTAAAGAGGTAAACGTTGAGAAGTTTTCAAATGTTTCCAATTACCCCATTCGGGGTAATTGGAAACGTACGTGAAAGTTAGTGGGGTAAATGGAAACGACCATGTAAAATAGCTAGAAAGCTAGGAGTTTCTTGAAAATCAGTTTCTACTCGCAGAACGCCTCTCACAAAATAGTTTCCGATTTTAAAAACATGCAGAATATTCTTTTCTGCAATCGTAGAGAAACTCTCACTCGTTTTCATTCAGAAATAACGAAATAAGCGTGTTACACGAGAAAGGTGGTCTAGGCTATCTCGATAATCACTGAACAAAAAAAGAACTACTATTCAAACATTATCATCACCGACATTACCAGTACAATCACAACCATTAGTTAAAATAATAATGAATCCTATAGTTATTGTTACTCAGGCTAAGTAGTGAGTAGAGCTTGGAGATTCTCACCGTTTGTAGAGCAATAATTGATCTCTTTACCTGTGCAAAAATTATTAATTAGTATCATTGGCTTGACGAGAAAACTATTTTTTACTAATGAATTATTTCCCGTGTAAAATACATGACGTATCCAATTACTCCATCAATTTCTATTGTTGTTTCCAATTGCCCCAAATGGGGTAATTGGAAATATTCGTTAGAACTTTCAGCAATTGTACTCGAGTATACTCGAGTACAAAATTTCCAGTACTCGTCCTCGGAACTTTTTAGTTATTGTATTATTGTGAATTTTTTGACCAATTTAATTCTCTTCTCATTATTTATATTTTAGATTTATGTACTCCTAGTCGGATATTGTCATTTAACTGTGATATTGCTACCTTTTTTTATTGTTCTTTTTATACTCGAGATCCTTTTATATATATTTATTATTCACGATCATAAGTAATGTATATTTAACAAAGCATGGATTCACGTCGACATGAGAAATATGAGTTTGTGTCGTTGAGCTCTTTGTCTACGAATTAGATGTTAATTGAGATGTTGTATGTGGAAACTGGTTGATGTTGAGCTTTGCAGGAACTCTTTAACTTAAGGAGTTCAAAGAAGTCCGGGAGTCCGTTTTCTCTCCCTTGATTTATTAAAGAAACAAGCGTAATAGAGTGAAAAGAAAATTGATTGCTTCAGTTTGTTTTAGAGAAATAATGAGGCAATAGTCCTTATATAATTTTTAAGATTTCAGATCGAATTTATTTTGTGAAACCTATACCATCTCTCATTTTTATTATTATTGTATTCATATTCATTTCATTTATTTTGGCGTAAATGGTAAAACCAGGGAAACAGACAAGAAGCAATTAACAAAAGCATAGATATAGAAAGTATTCAGGGAAAAAATAAGAAAAGTAAAAACATGAAGAACAGATTGAAACATTTCTACTACTTGGTTAAGAACAACATCATTGTAACATCGATTATAAACGTTTAATGGCAGGATTTGGGAAATAGACGTTAGATACTTTTTAGCAGCTATTCTAAAATGATTAAATCTATTTATTTAGAGTTTTCGACTCATCCGAGTCATCATCGACAAAAATTACACGAATTAGAAAAGTTAAATAGAGTAAAACTATCGACTGCTTATGAAGCACACCCTAGTGAAACTTCTTGTAACCAAGAGCTTGACTTCTTGAATTTTTTCAGTAAGATCTTGATTCAAGATCTTGGTAAGAAAATATAAGAATTCAAGAAATTTCAAGAAGTCAAGATCTTGAACATCTTATAATTTCTTGACTTCTTGTACCAAGATCTTGGAAATTCTTGAATCATCGTTTTGTTTTACATTCTAGTGTAAATATAAGTGCGAATATTTTCACACTTAGAATAAGTTCGATTTTTTTTGCTTCGTGACCATAGTTGTTTAAGGAAGAATCTATGATTCTATATCGTCGTATATTCAGTGGCTACGACTGTCATAAATAAAAACAAAATGTAAAGAAAATTTGTCATTCTTGCTCTTGCAACATCTTGAGTGGCTTCACTCAAGATCTCGAAATTTCTTAATACAAGATCTTGAGTGAAAAATTCAAGAATCCAAGATCTTGACTTCTTG